CTCATGTAGCCCTCACCCAGAATCACTGCATCGGCAAGATCGGTGATCAGCAGAATACAGATGTACAAACAGTATGCTCGTCATGATGCTGCGACTCATCATCACAATCATCACCACCACCAAATCACCGTTGTTGTCACAATCGTCCACATCACATCATCGCTAGGGCTTTGTTTGGAGTGCAATGCGACCGCATCCTGCAGCTCAGTGCAGCGGGCCAGGGCCACAAGAAGCACCGCCGCGCCGCCGGCGCCCTTCGACTCTTTGTCGAAGCACCTGAGCCGGCACTGGGTGAGAAAGCTGTGCCGAGAGAATCTCGAGCTTCGGCTGCTCTTTTCAAAGACATCGTCTCACACCACGAGCTTTCTGTGAAATGGCTGGGCCTGGGTGTCTGCCACCTTAAAGTCTCGCACCGATCCCACATCTCCCTCACACCCCCCAAAACCATCTCCACCAGAGGATCCCAGAACACTCCAACAGGTGCCCAAAAGCCGAGGCGCCTGTCGACGTCCACCTTCGTGAGCTTCGGCCAGTGGGCGCCCTTGAGCTGCTGCCAGGCCGCAGCCGGGATTTGAGAGCAGTAACCCATCTGCAGCTCCTGGCCGGCGGGATCGGATTGGTTGTCCTCGCTTTCGGGGGGGGCCTCTCGTCTCAAATCCCTTGAGAAATGCGTCTCGGGTCCAAGAAGGACTGAAGGTTTTCAGGCGTTTGCGGGCTTTGGACCGAAGCGAGGCCCCCGGGGCCGGGCCAGGGTTCTTCAGCCCTTTCCCCTTTGCAATCGCGGTTCTACGCCCAGTGGAACTCGGAAGCGGGGAGCTAACCACTGAGCCTAGCATTTGACTATCGTCATCAGCACCTCGTGGCTCGACCTCAAAGAGTGGCAGGAAACCCCACGAAGCTCCGACGAGACCCAGAAAGCTCCGCACGTCCTGCAGCAGCTGGCAGCGGCTCAAGGCCAACAGCAGCCCGGCGGCGCCCTCGCCGCCCTTGGAATGCTCGTCGAAGCACCTCTCAAGAGAAAGGCGGCGAAGGCCCTTCCTCCCACGTCCCTGCAACAAGAAGAAAGCCGCAAAGCACTCTGCTCTCCGAGGCGCCATGCCAAGCTCGCCTTCCTGAGCTTCTGGAACGCCTCACCCTGGCCGAGCTGCTGCCACACGGCGGCAGGGACGTCCCGGCACTCATCTAAGTTCAGCTCCTGGCCGCGAGGGTTTGTCAAGGTGCCTCTCAGCTCTCCTCCTCCCCTTTCTCTGCTGCCCGCCCTCAGGGCCGGAGGCATCTTGAAAGCTGCTTGACGTACAAACTGCGGTGCGGCACCCTGACTGGCTCAGATCCGTGCATCGACCACCACCCATACACGATGTAAGTTACCCCGGTACAAATCAGAGGTCGATTAAACAAGAACCATGAACTTACATGAACTACCATCTGCCCTTCGACCTGCCGTCGCGTCCTCGACATCGGAGCGGGCCAGAGCGGGCAGCAGGCCGAGGTCCCCCTGAACTGCCGCTGCGCCGCCAGCTCCCAGCATCACCACGGAGGTGACGAAAGTGGGGTACATGGGCAGCTGCTTGGCACCGGGCTCCTGCAGCTCCAGGGAGCTTGCCACCTCGCCTGCGTCGATCGGAAAGGTGTGGCGTTCAGGTGATCTGCAGACTGAACTTCGCAAGACGCTCGGACGGTCCGAAAAGCTTCGCTTCGTCCTCTAGCTGCAGCTACTGCTTCCGGTCCCCAGACAGACATCCACGCATGCGTCCATCCATCCATCCATCCATCCATGCATCCATCCATCCATCCATCCATCCATCCGTCCATGCATGCCTTGCATTCCTAGAGTACCTATATGTCTTACTTCCTGTAGCTGCGCATGAGACAATGACAGTGCGGTCGCTTCGTGAGCTCCGGATCTCTCGACTGACGTGGCTGAACCCAAAGCCAGAGCCAGAGACGAAACGAGTGCCCCCAACGCACGCTTCTCACACCTCCACCCGCCTGCACCCGCTTCGAGGTCCAGAGGAGCTTTGCGCAGGCGCTCCAGGTGCTCCTCCGGGATGCCGAAGGCAACCCGGAGGCGAGGCCAGGCCCCGTCGCCCAGCAGCTCCCAGGCCGCGTCGGGGATCTGATCGCACCCCCGGAAGTCCACCTCCTGGCGGCCGCTGTCGGGACGGGACGGAAGCGAGAGGCGTGGGGCTCTCTTCTCTCTGAGGCCTCCAGCTGCTGGGAGCGGCCCAAAGCTGCCAGCAGCTCCTCCGAGCCCGAGCCGCTTGAGTAGAAACACCTTCCGCCCCGGCATCCGAGCATCGCACGCTCTCCCTCGCAGACGCTCTCTCGCTCTCTCCTTTCAGCTCTCTCTCTCCCCTCCGATTGGTCCAACCCCAGCTCTCAGGGCCGAGGCGCACTCCAAAGCTCGCCTTCCGGAGTTCCGGCCACTCCGCGGCTCCGAGCTCCGCCCAGGCCTCGCCCGGGACTTCCATGCAACCGTACATCGCCAGCTCCTGGCAAAAAAAAAGCCCCAGGCCACCAAACCCTGGAAGCGCGGGCGCGGCTTCTACAAAGCTGCTCGGAACTCGGAAGTCGGCGGGTCCTTCAGCTTCCGGCACCGCGCCAGCGCAGCCAGCAGCGGCTTGGAGCCCTCGCCAGAATCGCGGAAGCACCTCAGGCTCTCTCCCGGCACGGCGTCAGCTCTCCCCAAGAAAGGCTTAGAGAGAAAGGCCGAGGGGCATATCGAGGTTCGCCTTCCGCAGGCGCTCGCTGTCCAGGCTCGCGCCCAAGCGCTCCCAGGAGTCCGCCGGGACGTCCACGAAGTCAGGGAGGTGCAGAGTGGCAGGATGCAACGTCGCCACGCCCTCCACCACCGCCTCTTGGGGGATGGCCAGCCTCTCAATTAATCCGCCATCGAAGCGAACGTCGCCGGTGGACTCGAGGATCCTCTCGAGGCCCTGCTGCGTCAAGCCGCGGGCCTCGAGGGGTGACGACTTTTTTCCGGAGCTCGGAGCTCAGGGCGAGCGAGTCGCTCATCGCAGCTCATGTCATAATCATCCCTTCACGCAGATCCCCCCAACCCAAAATGCGCGGTCCAAGCAAAAACAACTTCACATGCGAGTCACGGCGGCGTCTGTCGTCAGGTCGACGGCGACCTTGCCCTGCATTGCTGCCAGGACCGCCTTGGGCACCTGGGAAGCTCCGCATGCGTGCCAGTGCCTCGCTGCAATCTTCAACCCCGTGCCCTGTGCCTGGCCGTCCGGGCTGGGGAGGCCAGCCTGCAGGCTCGAGTAGGCTATGACAGGCTCGTCTCCTGGCAATAGTGGTGGCACACTTCCGAGCAGCTGTGGCGATGCATGCTTGGTTTGCTGCAGCGCGCACCTGACGCCAAAGCCACAAAGCGCGGCTGCTCCACGTGGTGGCCGAGCCAGCCTGAGGCTTCCCGCGCGATGGGACTCATGCGAGGGCCTGCACATTCCAAACAAATCGAAACCACTCAGAGCGACTGAGGAGGCCAAGCGCTGCCCAGCTGACGAAGCTCACGACCTCGGGTGAGTGAGGGGCCAGGGCACGCCGGCACACGTAAAGAGTCCACCTGACTTTGACTTGGACAAGTCAAGCCCGGCACGAGCCACGCAATCAGCAGCATGTCAGGCAGGACCTGTGTCCAGCTTACAAATTCCGCATGCAGGACCCAAAACCTCCTATAATCAACTTTCTGGCTAGATCTGCACAGCACTCTATATACTCTGTACTCTAAACAGCGTGCAGCCGTAGAAAATGCTGCGGCCTTACATGCTGGCGGGGCCGTGCTCGTCCGCAGCAGCAACTGCCCTCCTCCGGCAGCAGCCACCAGCAGGAAGTGGATGATGAATGAATACCTCGCAGCAGATTCCCATAGAAAAAACTGCTACCGAACGTCCCGCGACGCAGCGCCTCTGCATCTCTCTGCATCCCGCCCTCCCCCAGCTCGAATTCTACCCGAAGTCGACTGCCGAGCAGCCTCCACTTCAGTAGGGAATTCGGCTCCAGAATTTGCCCTGGGTGGGCGATCACCGCGGCCTCGCTCGGAGCAAGACTTGCGCCAAGAACGTGATTTGTTGAATTTTCTTTATAGGAGCTTGCAGCTGCTCTTGCAGCTGCCGGGCCGAGCCGAGGGGCTGCGGCGTCGGCCCAGGAGGCGTCCGGGAAGGCCAGGCAAGCCGCGAGGAAAGCGAGTGCCACTGCTCCGACCCCGGCGAATCGCAGCAGCGGCAAGCCCCGTAGGGACGCTTGGAGAACGTTGAGTGCCAGAATGCGGCTGAAGACTTCCAGTGACCTCGCCAGGACGAGGCCGCCCATGGTCGGCCCCCAGCCGACTTTCCCTGGTAGCTCCAGAACGGCCGAGTCGGCCTTGTCTCGGCTGGCGAAGCCCAGGCCCAGACTGAAGCAAGAGACGAGGACCGAAATCTTCATGCTGTTGAGCTCCTCATCGGGCAGCTCCAGGGCCTCGATCTGTGCGATGCCACCCAGCGCCGAGACTAGGAAATTCGTCTGTACCAGGGCAGACACGGCCGATTCGGCCACCTGTGCAAAACTCTGAATAGTTAGCCGCAAACTCTCCGAGTCAACCCGACTGCAAGGGGCCCTGCCTCTGCATGCTTGGCTCCTGCAAGCAGAGGATGGCGCCTGAGGCAAGCGGGGACGGGCTTTAAGCGTCTGGAGCTGCAGATGCCTGCAAGAATCACTTAAGGGTTCTGTTTCAGCCCAGGAGTCCGTCGTGACAGGGCAGAGGCTGCGACGAGGAGGAGCATATGGGTCTGCGTGCAGATGGACAGGAGCATGGCTGGCACCAGCATCTTGGGTGTAAGGAGCGTCTTAAGCTGGTCTTCTTCTGGCGATCGCCGATCGAGGAAATCCACCGCCTCCAATGTTGTGAAAACTGGCGGTAGGGCCATGCCGGCGACGTTGAGGAAGAAGTAGCCGAAAAGTTTGTTTTGCCAGAACAACCCCAATTGCTTCACGTCCAGGGCGATGTCAACGTAGAAGAGGGCCTGGCCGTTCGCCATCGAAACTTCTCACGGCAACATGCTCGACACATGTGTTCTAGATGGAATGTGGGCTTGGCAAGTACCAGTCTCTGACTCCTTCGCTCTCTTTCTTCTCCAAAATACAGAAACCGTATCTGTCTTCCACTCTAGAAGAACGGAACACTCAGGCTGAGGAGGACACTAAAGTCAACAGGAAAAGGTCGGCCCAGAACATCGCGGATTGCCCTGTCAGGCTTCTCACGGCGTCGAGGGTGCAGGTCCAGCTCTGCTCATACTGGCACTCCACGATGTGGTCCACGGTTCCCTGGATGGTCCGCAGTCCGGTGACCTGCCAAGACCGGCAGAAAGCTGCAACTGCAAGCTACATCTGCTCAGCGGACTGGTTCGTGCCTCAGGCAACATGGGGATATCAACGCTCTCGGGCTCCTTCTCCAAGCTCTCTAAGGCAGGAGGCATCCAGGCCAGGCGGCCTGGAAACTTGATCGAGTTGGAGCGAATGTATCGGCGCGAAAGGGGCTCCAGTTGGAGCTTGCCCTGGACATCCAGAAGGATGTGGATATCTCGACGATCCGCGAAGCCCGTGGTTGGATCTGTGGCCTCAGCACGACAGGCCGCGGCTTCAGCGCCGTCCTTTGCTATGCAAGAACCTGCAAATGGATCTCTACCCAGACCCCTGAGAGGATCTAGGAAATAGATCCCTTACTGGGACGCTCCTAGAAAGAATATTTAGTGATTCTAGTGGTATAGGGTCGCAAATTAGAAGGGTTTTCGTTTCTAGATCCTCCCGGGAGTCTGGGTACTGAGAGGTCCTGAGCCGCCGACTTCCCAATACCTGAAGCCGAGAACCCGCGCGTCATCTGGCAAGGGCAGTGTGAAACGTTGGGTTGGCAGCGTGCCCTCCCCGAGGCCACCCGAACCTTCCAGTCCGTCTGCCAATTGCACCACCTGGGGCACTGGCCCGAGACTCAGCTCCAGGCGTAGGAGCCGCATAAAGCTCCCTTGCAACGCATCATCAAGCTCGGCTCTGCCGTCGTCGACTTGAAGCTGCTCTGGGCAGATCACTGTTGCTTCGAGACTCCGCTCCGGTCGCAACACCTGATACTTGTAGGCGGTCATGGCTCCGGTCTTGCTCCCTGTGGTCGCTGTTCGAGCCGAGGCCGCTAAGGCAGCAAAGGTAGGGATGGCGAGCCTTAAGGGAACCCCTTAAAGATCCTTTAAAAAAACTCCCTTGTAGATCGCTCAGAGGAACCCCGAGCAGGGGGGAGGCCCAAACTCCCTTCGTCGAACTCCTGGCCCGGCGGCAGCACACGAGCGGCTCAGGTCCGTGCCGTACGCGGCGGCTTCGGCAGCTCGGCGGCTTCGGGCATTGCTACGGCCCCCAGTTGATCCTAGGAGCCATAGATCATGCACCATTTTTTGGAGATAGTGACGACTATTCGCTCATGGAAGGGTTTATTGGGCATGCGGTTGCGTTGATGTTGAAGGCTTAGTGTGTCAGCTCTTTGCGATAAAACAGGCAGCTGGCTAGTACGGGCCCTTCACCAAACGTGCCGCCAGAAAAGGTGTGGGACTTGCTTCCGCAGGAGCCGTCTTCTGGTGAGGGAGGGAATCAGAGCTGGCCGTTGTCGGCGCAAGGGGAGAAGAAGCCTCCGCAAATCCTCCGCATCTGTTTCAAGCAGACCGGAGCCAGGAAGTGACGGCTGAGAGGATTCTTGGATGTGCCAGCGTTGCTCCGAAACTCCGAGGATCCTGAAACCCGAAATGGAGCCCTGCAGGACTTGGAGATCTCTGAGCCCCTGGTAGCTGCTGCCAGCTGAACCGCTCATCATTAGAGGGCAAATCCCCGGCGAAGAAACAGGGAAGCCTCCACCCGAAACATCCGGAAGCCCTCCTCGCTCCGAAGCTCCGAGGCCAGCACCGTTTGGAGCCTTTGAAGCACCGCCGCCAACCTCCGACGGAGGGCCGTGCTTCAGAGCTCTCCGACGCCCCGAAGCCCCAAAGGACCAAGCCCTGCAGCTAAGGGATGCCGAGGCTGACTATAGAGATGACTCACATAACATCCAATAAGTCGAGGAAGAGGGGCTCAGAGCTCCGAGACACCATCTCCTCAAGACAATCACAGGCTTGAAGCCTCACCCCTCCAACCCGAAACCCACAAAAACACCTTAGACGATGGTCTCGTTTGCTTCGGAAGTGACGGAAAGCCCGCGGCAAGAGATGTACCCTGTAGAAGCACGGACAGATCGCGGAGGCACCCTCCTAAACCACCTGCTACCCTCAGATCTCGAGCGATGACTCGGTGACTCGGCGTCTGGGTCTGGGTGGAGGGAGGGCCCCCCTCTCTCAGAAGCCAGCTCACGACCTTCAGAAGCTGCAGCGCTGATGCCCGGGCAACACAACATGAAAGCTGCTTCTTCAGTTTCTTGCGGACATGCACATGCACACACACACACACAGAGAGAGAGAGATGCACACATCCTTGCAAAACCCAAAACTCGATCTGACCCCGCAAAAAGAAGCGGGCCTGGCGGCTGCGCGTTCGCTCCAGGTCTGCAGGGGCCGCCTCCCAGCTGCCAGGGCCTTCGGGTGGGGGGGGCGGAGATGTCGGGGCTTGGGGGATCATAATAGACCATAGTGGACGATAATAGACCAGAGTATACCACAAGCATATAATGTACCAGAATATGCTCTCTCATAGCTGCTCTAATGTATCGATGATGAGGGCTTCTGTGAGGCCTGTTTCTTCAAAGGAAGCGGAGCCTTGGAGGTGGCGCTTCGGCTGGCGGAAGCTTTCGACTCCCTCCGATTTTCTGGCTCGGCCTCTTGAGACCTCAAAATCCTAAAGCTTGGGGCCGGAGGCGTTAGGGGCTTTTTAGGGAATATTGCTTGGGGCTTTAGGGCGAAAAAGTTTTGAGGGTTTAGGCTGTTCAGGGTTTCTGGAGCCCCCCGCCCCCTAACTCCCATAAAGTCTCCCCAAGAAGAAAGAGAGGGGGCCAGCGGGGCTTTTGCGGGTTTGGAGAGCTCTGGGCCGGCTGAAGAGCTCTTCCTGTCATTGCACGCTTCGGCTTGCAGGGAAGGTCCCCAGGGCACGGTGAGGGATTCGGGGGAAGCTCTCGCAGAGTAGCGCAAGCGTAGCTTTTCAGAGTCGCGGGGTTGACTTGCTGCTTTGGGTTAGCATGTGGCTTCCCAAAAAGATTATCGTTTCAAATCTTAGGTTTAGCATTTCGATGGTGTTCTGGCCCAACCTACAAGAAGCCTCCGCCTCTGGCTGAGACGCCTTCGACATGGCAAACCCCCAAACTCCTATAAACAGGAAAACCCTATAAATCCTAAATCCTTCTTCCTAAAGCCTAAGCCTATAACCCTGACCACGACATCCGGAACGCCTTGAGGGCAAGCTTCTTCCGTCAGCTCGCAGAGCCTGGCGTGTTGGAGATCGCGTTTGGAAACTGGCTGGGTTTCTGGGATGTGGGAGGGCTTCGGTGCTCCGGTTTCGGATGGAGCTCGGAGCTTCGGGTAGCACAGGCAGGAGTTCACCCGAAAAAGGACCCTGCTACATTCTTGCAAGCCCTGTGGCCGGGAGCACCGAGGCCGAGAGCCTCTGACGACGAAGTCCCCAAAGTCTACGTCTCTTTAGAGTTTAGAGGTTCGGCCGGGTCCCGAAGGGGGAGAGCAGAACAGGGATACAGCGCTGACGAGATGGCATCCGGCTGTGGACACTTGCGGCAGAGGATTCAGTCGGAATTCCCTTGCAATCTAGATCTCCAATGCCTATAAGCTTGGAAGAATGCGCGCCCGTGCTTTGCTGCAGCTAGGGCGCTGCTTTTTAACTTGACGTCTATAGACTCTATAGACTCTGAAACCTGCTTCCCCGAACCTCAACTCCACCCTAGACACAAAGTCCCAAAGCACTATCAACATTTTAAAATATTTTAAATAAGAAAGAAACCTGTTCAGCGTAAGGCCGCTTCAGGCCCCGCTTGTTGTCTCAAAGGCTCCCTACCTTCGTCGGCCTTCCGGGCGATCGCCGCCTGGCGCAGATCGGGACGGACAGGGAGGGACATCCGACGCTTCGGTGGTTTTGGGGGGGCGGAATTTCTTGGGGTTTCAGGAGCTCCCTTTGAGGTTTTGCTTTCCGGGCCACTCTGTGAGGCTTAGGGCTTCGGGGGCTCCAGCTTGGGGGGTTTTCGTTTTGGGGCCTCGGCTCCCGTTCGCGCTCGGCTGCTACGACGACGTGTTTTGAAGTTGAGGGTTTCCTCCATCCGTCTATGGGAGCTTGGGCTTCGGGTGCTGGGCTTTGGGGTTCAAGGCTCAAGGGATGAGGATGAGGGCTCCAAAGGATTAAAAATATTAGGGCTCAGCATCCCTAAACCCCCCGAAGGTCGTGAGGATGGGAAGTCCAAAATAGCACGAAGCTTACGAACCGTATCTAATCCGAAGCCCGTCTAGACGACGAAAGCCCTTACTGTAAGCGCCGAATCCCTTAAACACTGCCGATTGCAAAGCAAGCGAAAAGGGGCCTGAACCGAACCCGTAAGACCAAGCCCACCCAAAGCAGAAGGATCCTGGTTCCGGTTCCCCGTTTGGGGGCTATATTAAACATGTTCACATTTGTTAATCCTTACTGGGTTTTATATGGTGTTAATATAACAACAATGTCTAAACCCTAAAACCCCTAAACCCCTAAACCCCTAAAACCCTGAACCCTACAACCCCTAAACCCCTAAAACCCTGAACCGTATAACCCCTATAGCTCCTATAACCTCTAAACCCCTATAACCCCTAAACCCCCTGCACCCCTAAAACCCTTAACCCTATAACCCCTAAAAACCCCTATAAGCCCCCTAAACCCCCTTAAAAGCAACAAGGACCCAGGGGGGTTCCGGAGTCGGGAAGGGGAGCGGCCTCAGACCGGAGGGCTTCGAAGTTTGTAATGGAACCTTATAAACCCTATAAACCCTACCAGCACTCCCCCCCTCACCCCCCCAAGGTACCCTACTACTAGAGCCCCTTAATATGGTTCCTTAATAGTGTGGGTGGGGGGTCTTTCGGAGAGAATAGAGGGTACTTGGGGGGGTTTATCAGCAGTGGGCTCAGACCTGAGCTTTGCCGCCGAGCGCACGCGGCCGGCCCCCGCCGGCCGGCGAGGGGCTGGGGTGTTTCTTGTTGTTCCTCGGTCTTCCGCTTTGGGAGCTGGGGGGGGGGGCTGTAGGCTTCTTCTTCTTTTTGTGGGGGGTCTTGGGTCTGAGGGGTTACAGCTTTTCTTGGGTTTTCGGTTCGGGGAGTTTCTTAGGTCTGGGGTTTGGGGTTTGTGTTTCTGCGGTTTGAGACGGCCATACAAGGATTCCGGAGCAGATCGCTGGCTTGCGTTGGAAGGCGTTGCACATGACTCCCGCATACCCACGGTTCAGCTTCGAACTTACGGGCCCTCAATGTACTCCATAGCCTACAGGCTTCCAGCATGCAAGATGGCTGGTCAGAGACACTTTGCTTTGGCACGCACATTTGCAGTTTGGCCTCCTCCTGTGGAGAGTTTTGTGGAGACGAAAGGTTTGCGCTCACGATGTGAACTGTGAGTGCTTGTCTTCCCGCAGATTTTTCTCTAAGCTGAGCCCGGTGCTACCCAGAACGTCGCGCCGAAGCCTCGTCGGAGGAAAAGGACTCTTCCCATGCCCCGCTCCATCCATCACGTCAATGCTTTTCAGGAAACATGCATTGCAGTGCTGTCAATGCTTGGCGAGGTGCATGAGACTCCATTTCTCACTCTGCCAAAAGCCGATTTCGCTATTGACTTGGGATTGGATGCCCTGCGCTTCGGCATGGGCCTGGTGACTGCGTGAGACTGCTGGCTACGTGTGACCATTGACAGCGGCCAGCATCAGAAACGGTCGTACACGTTTCTTCCCGTGCCGCATATGCTTGCCCGCACAATGAGCAAACGAAGGATTGGGGTTTCAAGGTCTACATACTACATAAAACCGAACACGCTA